AACAAGAACATGGATCTCTCAAACTGGGCATTGCCCCAGCTATCGAAGCTTGTCCCTCTAGACGATGAGTCACTGAAGCAACTAATATCCTATACTGAGTCACTATCGCCCAAAGAAGCAGCGGACCATCTGCAGAACTTCTTAGGCGATAGCCCGCAAGCACTTGAGTTTATCTCTTCGTTTAACAACCGGAGAAAGGCGAAACCTTCCAGCGGCTCTGGTCAGGCCCAAGTGTCAAATGGCATGTCAGAAGTACCCAGGGCGAAGCCAAAGAAAAAGAAACCCGGTTTGAACAAACTTCCGCCACCGCGACAAGTAGAAGACCATGGCAATGTGTCTGGTTCATATCTCAAAAAGGATGAACAAGATTACATGGCGGGTAGCTCAAAGCCCAAGGCTGCTAAATTCGGCTTACAAGAACAACCTGATGGGTTACAATTACCAACCTTCACTACGTCATCGGGGACATCAACCCCCAAGTCCCGTGGCGTCTCGCCTGCTCCGCAACCAGCAAAGAAACTTCCAGGCCAACTTATCTCCGATACTAAACCAAAGGCAAAGGCAAAGGTCAATGTCACTGGTGGCACGCCCATGCATGGTGCCTCAACGGCACTCAACGATCTGGAGTCCGCAATCAGAGCGCTTGAGATCCAGACGAACCCTACTCTTTCCCCACAAGACAACAGCAAGCGGAAATGCAATTGCATGGCTACCAGGCATCCTTTGCTCGAAGCTGCGCCAAACTGCTTGAATTGCGGAAAGATCATCTGTGTCAAGGAAGGCATCGGCCCATGCACCTTCTGCAACTCAGCTCTGTTCAGTGCACAAGACATCCAATCCATGGTGCGAGTTCTCCGCGAAGAGCGCGGAAAAGAGAAGATGGCCGCCAACAACGCCGGCCAAAAGCGTGCCGATGTCTCACTCGCACCACGCCCGTTCTCAACACCCCGCACAGGAACACCCGCATCTTCCAATCCCGCCTCGGACGTCGAGTCTGAGAACGAGAAGCTCGCAAAAGCAAAACAGCACAGAGACAAGCTGCTCGCCTTCCAAGCCCAAAACGCCAAACGAACTCAAGTCCACGACGAAGCCGCCGACTTCGAAACCACAACAGCCGGCCTCAGCATGTGGGCCAGCCCCCAAGAACGCGCCATGCAGCTCAAGCGCCAGCAAAAAGCACTACGCGAGCAAGACTGGAATGCGCGCCCAGAGTACGAGAAGCGCAAGGTAGTCGCCAGCATCGACCTCTCTGGCAAGAAGCTTGTCAAGCGCATGGCTGCTACCGAGAGGCCGGCTACACCCGAGAGCGAAGATGAGCCACCCGAACCTACTCAACGGCCCCGAGATGGGAATACGCTATCGAGTGGTAGCGGGGCGTTCAGCAAGAATCCGCTGTTGGGTGGACTGATTAGGCCGACTATTAAGGTCCAGGAGAGTAAAGGCAAGGAGAATGCGGGTGAAGGAGGCAGGAAGCAGACGTGGCGTCGCGTGCAGGATGATAATGATGATAATGAGCAGTGGATCTTGGATGGGGGTGTTTATGGTTCGAGAGCGGATAATGTGAGCTTGGAGATGGATGGTCTGAGATGATAGGTGCCTTTACCTCCCTTACCGAAGTAACTACATTGATAGTGGTAAAAAGAACCAGCAATCAACATCCATCCCCACATCATCACGCGAATCCATCTCAATGAAAGCCTAGCAGTGAACTTCCAACAAGCTCTCCCATCCTCTCATTCTACCTAGGCAACTCGAATCAAGAACACAGTCTGCATGACCCCCGTAGCCGAACAGCCGTACTTGTGGCGTATCAAGCATCCACTCCGGTGTCGCTATCGTACATACGCGAGAGCGAGCATAGCTCACGGGACTAGAGACCATGCATCTGTACGGGCAGGTCAAGCCCATACTCCCCTGTAGGTGTATCCAACGCGGACTTTTCTCCGCGCGAATAGGACCGAAGGGGAAAGCCGCGCGGAGGTGTATTGTGCGAGGAGCGAAGAGCGAGACAGCTAGTGAAGAAAGTCCCGAGGTCCTCAGGTCATGTCCGTGTCGTGTATGCCCTCTCCTTACATACGGAATCGCCGCACCACCTCTCCATTCCAAGGTTACCAACACCAACCCACCGTCCCCCGCCGATCCCCGTTCACCTTATCCCCATCCCCAGGTTTTCCAACGAAGCCATCTGAGATCGACAAACCTCGCCAAAAGCTTGTTCAGCCGCTTCTTTGCTTGTTGCGACAAGCTCGACCAAGCAATTGCGGGGTACATACACACTACGCAGCCACGCTAACCCCATTCACAACTTCCCCCGGTGTCCCATGGACATGGTACGGAAGGAAGTGATAGGCTAGCTGGTTAACGTGGCGGAAGTGTCAGGTAGGCGTGTTGGAAAGTTACCGCGGCCGTGGTGCGAGAAGCGAATCTGGATGCGCGGATGGGGACGGTGGGTGGATGGGCTAGACCATGGGTCTGGGGTCTAGTGTCAAGGAGGATAATGGAGGGAAAGGGAGGGATTTGGAGGAAGAGGGACGGATGTGAGGACTAGCTGGATGCTAGGTGGGAAATACCCCGCAGACTGAGTCGTGGGTGGGGAATGTGATGGACGGGGGCGTGGTGAAAGCAAGGGTGAGTTCCAATTGCATGGATAGCATAAGAGCCCCGCTGAGCCTCCAAACGAAGTGTCAGTCATTCTTGCGAACACTTTCGTTCGTGCTGTTCAAAGTCTCCATTGCTGTCTACCGGTTCGTCCCCATACGTAGACCATGAAGAACACGATGCGAGACCATAGCGATGGCTCTGGTACGTAACCCTACATCTCAACCTCACATCCACCTACACATGTACTGATGCAACAGGATAGATATCTCAGACCACTCCCCCTCAGCCTCCAAACCAGCTTTCAACCACATCGAGCAAATCCACACCAACGAGCAAGTCCCCGGACACACCAACTACTACGAAAAAGATGGCTTGCGGACAGCCGGCGACGGCGAGGACCACGATTCCGAGCAGCCTATGAACTTCAAGAGACTTATGGCTTTGGTCGCCATGGCTTTCCGTGCGTAGAGCCCTTCACAAACGACTGATACACAACGGAGTTCCCTCGCTAACATGAAGAATAGTATGGACAGGCAGCCAAATCCCCGTCTACCTCTTCGGCGGCGTCCCCCCCTACATCTACGCCGACATAGGCGGCACCGACCGCTGGATCTGGTTTATCCTGGCAAACCTCCTCTCCCTCGCCGCCGTGTGCCCCTTCGTCGGTTCCATCTCCGACATCGTAGGCCGCCGGTGGGTCGCCATGATCGGCGCGTGCTTCCTGATCCTCGGCATGATTATCTGCTCAACCGCACATTCCATGAATATCTTCATTGCAGGAATGGTGTTTAGCGGTGTGGGCGCGGGCATCAACGAACTTACGGCGTTGGCGGTGACGAGCGAGCTTGCGCCGACGAGCCAGAGGGGCAAGTATGTTGCGATATTGGTTTTTACGATTTTGCCGTTTTGTCCGAGTGTGCTTTGGGCGCAGCTTATTGCTAGTCAGAGTCCGGGGGCGTGGAGGTGGATTGGGATGTGGTGTGGTAAGAACTTTTCCCTGTTATCTAACGACGCATGAGAGGGGAAACTGACGATCTTAGGTCTCTGGGCTTTCATCGGCCTCGTCTTGACGTTCGTGTTCTACCACCCTCCTCCCCGCGTCAACAGCGTGGGTATGAGCCGCAGAGAGGTTCTCGCACAGATCGACTACATCGGCGGTTTCCTGTCTGTTGCCGGTATGATCTTATTCATGATGGGCATGCAGTGGGGTGGCTACCAGTACAAGTGGTCCAGCGCACACGTGCTCGCGCCCTTGATCCTGGGTGTCGCTTTCCTCGTCGCCTTTGTCTTCTGGGAAGCTTACGGAGCCAAACATCCCATGTTCCCCAAGCGACTTCGTCAGGAGCCCCGGATTCTGGGGCTGACACTCGTTATTACGTTTATCTCTGGAGCCAACTTCTTCTCGATCCTCATGTTCTGGCCGACGCAGGCGTTCAACGTTTATGGTCATGATCCTGTTGGTGTTGGTATCAGGGGTATTCCTGTTGGGTTTTCGATTCTGGCTGGGGCTTGTATTGTGCTGTGGTTGCTTTCATTGCTCCGTGGTCATAACAAGGAGCTTTTGATCGTCTCGTCGATCATGATGACGGCAGGCTGCGGTGCCCTTTCTATCGGTCGCGTGGACAACTTGTACCAACTGTGGGGATTGTTGGTTCTCGCTGGTCTCGGCATTGGTGGTATCGTTGTGCCCGCATCCATCATCTGTAAGTTTCACGTCGCGTTGATCGACGAACGCGTTACTGACCTCGTCAGCCACTATCATCTGCCCAGACGACCTGATCGCAACAATCGCTGCTCTTACCCTTGCCATCCGCGTCATTGGTGGTTCGATCGGATACTGCGTGTACTACAACGTCTTCATCTCCAAATTTGTTCCCGCCGCAACCCACTACATCGGCGGCGCAATGGTGACCAAGCTCAACATCACATCGCCTGAGATCATCGGAGAGGCAATCGCCATTACCGGCGGATCGCTTCTCCCGCTTCTTCATGAGCTTCCGGGTATCAAGGACGTGCCGGGTGCGTATGAGTTGGTCGTGTACGCTGGACAGCTCGCGTACGCCGAGGCGTACAAGTACGTGTACTACGTGAGCATAGCGTTTGGCGGAGTCAGCATCATCGCGGCATGCTTCTTGGGCGATATCTCGAAGTACATGGACGACCATGTCGCCGTGGTCATGCATTGAGCTGGTCGCAAGGAACTGAGATGGGTGCGCCACAGGCGTAGACGCAGTGAATATGTAGCCGAGGTCTGTAATTACAATCGAGGCTTATTCAAACGCTTGCGTCCTTAAGATTAAGCGTCCTGCATGGCTGGCTGTTAACGTTTGCAGCGTTGGCCGACCTTACATCTGTTTAGGTAGACTTGGCTGCATTGCGACGCTACAGCTAACGGCGCGATGTGCGTCATAATCGGCGAACACCTCTTCAACACCGCAGCATTGTTTCCTTCTGGCAAACCTTTGATAAAGTCAGTAGAGGCCACTGTTGCCTATATCGACAACCTCTTCTATCCTTCAGATACCGAGTCAACCATGTTCCGTACCTCTTCTACCCGTGAGCCGGACGATGTCGAATGGAGAGCAGCAGACCGAGGATCGAATGGTGTTACCCAGCCACCCCTACATCCCGAGACGTCCAACAACAAACGCAAGCGGCAAAGCAGTTGTTTTTGCGCACCGCAAATGTTTGGTGGTGGCATCTTCTTACCGGACCCCTCAACGTATGACCCTTTGGAAATACTGCTCAACACGCATGGCCAAAGCGAGAGAGATGAGCTTGTCGAAAAATGGAGAGACAACAAGCTAAGCGAGCTGAACTTTGTTGGTGTCGTGGTAAGTACTGTATCCATTGATGATGCCGCATCGCTGACGATGGTCAAGTCCGCCCTGCTTGCGGGTGTCCTTACCTCGACAGGCAGCTGGCCAAATATCCTCACCACCGGCAGGCCCACTCCGTGGTATGTCCGGACATCGTGGTACTGTGGCATCATCATCACAATGCTCTCCATCATCAGCGCAGCCGACCAGACCGTGCGTTTACACCGGCTTTCGTCGCACCGCGATGGCATCGCCAATCTTCACAAGCTACTTGGTAAAGGAAGTCGCTGGAAACGAACGGGTCGTCGTGCGCCAAACCTTGTCCAGGTCTTGACTTGGCAGATGCCAGTCATGTTTCTCATATCCGCGACTATCTGCATGGTTGTGGGTATGTTTCTGCTCGTGTGGAGTGCAACGTCGAATTTGGGTAATTCTGGAGGATTAGACGATGGGGACAAGGTATGATCTCAGGCGAGGCGAATTTGGAAGGTTTCAACGCTGATTTGATCATAGGTCGCCATTGTTTTCACGGCTGTCGCGGCTTTGACGATCATCATGTTCTTCGTTGGGCAGATTTCGCTCTACTCGCCGATCAGAGAGTAGAAACTGTGTAAGTCGTCCGAAGGCGTGACAAAGCCATGTACCATTGGACGTAGGAGTGGTGCCGGTATCGAGAACGTGTGGAACATGATGATGCCGAAGATGGCGAGATCTCGCTGCTGCCAGCGGGGGGTGCCAAGCCGCTGGCTGCGCTATCCTTCTTTTGCACAAGCGTGTTCGTGGCAAACCTCGAGCACCTCATTGAGATCTACCCTCACTTGCCACTTCCGTCGCGTCATGCATCACATGAACTCGTGTGCAGCTCGCGTTGGACTCAATACACGCTGCTAACCATGATTCGCTGCTGCCTGTCTCGTCAGGCTGCTGTGGTCCCTAAACACGTCTTCCCGTCGCTAAAATGGGCCACGGCGCGTCGTTGCCTAGCTCGACCCTCTTTTGCCTCAACACGCCACTCCGCTGCAGCATCCAACTCCATCATGATACAGGCTGCCATCATCAAGCACGAACGAGATCCCAATGCTGAAGGAGATATATAATCCGTCATTTTTCCGTCTTCAGCAGTCATTTCGTTCAACAATCTCAATTATATCCCAACACACGCGCTTTCTACCACTTCTCACAACGCCATTTCAACCACAACCCAAAAGCAGGTATCGACAATGATTGACCTTCCTCAAGTCCCAGTTCGTCATACCGACTGGATTACTCATGTCGCAGCCCATCCAGAGACATCACTGCACACCTTGCTCGAACCCTACAAGGAATATGACTCCAAGCTGCGCGAGGTGTTCGCTCAGCAACCAGAACACCCCGCTATTGCCGAGCCCAACATCCTTCCCATATTCGCAGGCCGCGAAAGTGAACTCAAGATCCGCGCTCGCAACCCCGAGGATGAATCCGAGGCTGAGCGTGAGCGCTATCTCATGCCTCTCGACGAGGAGGACCGCAAGCCGACTGGCTCTCCGGCGGTTGTGCAATCACTCAATGAGTTCCAGACCAACTTCCAGCTCTTTTCCGAGTCATCGCTTGTTGACATGGACTGGTCCAATGTGGTGGTCGCAGGTAGCGCTGTTGTAACTTCGTTGCTGCCGGTTCCAGAGGAACATAGTGGCTCCAAGCGCGCCCTACGCGAATACTATCATCAGAAACTGGCCCCGGCTTCGGATGTCGATCTTTTCCTCTACGACCTTACCGAAGAGCAAGCCATTGAGAAGATCAAGCAGATTGAACAACGCATCAGAGACTCCATCTTGACAGAGACAACCACCGTCCGTACCAAGAACGCCATTACCATCGCTTCCCAGTATCCCACTCGTCACGTTCAGATTGTCCTGCGAATTTACAGATCTATTTCCGAGATTCTCACAGGCTTCGATGTTGATTGTTCCTGTGCGGCATACGATGGCAAGCAAGTCTACGCCAGTCCTCGTGCGATCGCTGCATACATGACGCAGATCAACACCATCGACCTGACACGTCGCTCCCCGTCATACGAAAACCGATTGTCCAAGTATGCACGCCGCGGCTTCGAAGTCTACTGGCCGCTCCTTGATCGGTCGCGTATTGATCCCACGCTGTTCGAACGCTCCTTCGGTCGCACTCTCGGACTGGCCAGGTTGCTAGTACTTGAGAAATTGCCGAAAAGCACTGACCGTGACGCTTACGTTGATCAGCGTCGTGCTGAACGTGGCAGACCAGCCATCAATCGTTGGGCCACGCAGAAGCTCAAAGGCGACATCAAGCAACAGCATGACGAAGATGTTGCCGAGTGGGTAGAGACTGATGAGGTCAGCGATTACCATACCTTCACCATCCCATACGGGCCGAAGTTCCATGCTCGGAAGATTGAGAGGTTGCTCTTTGCGAAGGACTTGCTACTCAACGCCGAATGGAATCGACCTAAGGATCGACAGACCACACTACATCGACACCCTTCCTTCTTTGGTAACGCAATCGATGTAATTGGGGACTGTTGCGGGTTCTGTCCCGAGCCCACCACACCAGAAGATCAGGAGATTGCAGCTGAGGAAAGCAAGATCTATGTGTCTGGCACATTGTCTTTCATCAAAGACAACCCTGGACGGCAATCAATCGGCTCATTTAACCCTCTTACTGATGATGATTGGACCGAGATGGCATATGTCGGCAATACAGCGCGACTGTGTCAGGCTATAGTGGACGGAGATCTCGAGCATGTCCGGGATTGGCTCAGTCAAGAGGGTGCTGATCCCAACCGAAGGGACTACACTGGGCGTACTCCACTTCATTTGGCGGTCATGACCTCAACTCCGCAGGTCGTTCAAGCTCTCGTCGATGCTGGAGCCCGTATCGTCGCTCGCATCTTCGATGGTAAGACCGCGCTCCATCTTGCTGCCATGCGCGGTGAGGTAGAGATGGTCAGAGCTCTCCTCATCAAGAGTGAGGCCAACGAAGAAGAAGAGGCAGAGAAAGAATCTCTTAAGAAGAAGAACCAGATCCTCCCGGAAACACCAGATGCTACCAGTACCAACGACACCGAGGAACATGCTTCCGATGACGACAGCGAGAACGACGACGATGAGGATGACGACGTCGATTTACTTGATGATGAGTCCGATAATGCCGATGCGACTACTGAAGGCTCTGTCATCAAGATAGACCCCAAAAAGTCAGAAGACCACGATAACCTCCCAGATGATGCAAATGACGACGAGCCCGATGTATACGACGTCAACGTAGTCGCTTGGGACGCACCGGTATCTGCGCTCCACCTGGCCATTGCAAATGGTCACACCGACGTCGTAAAGACTCTCGTTCAGGAGTTTGGAGCCGATGTACTACTGCCGGTCAAGCTTGTCAATGATTACAACAAGTCCCCGCGCGCGGCGATCCTGCCAACCGTTCTCGCTTTACAGCTCTCGCCTGAAAAGGCCAAGGACATGACTAGATTACTCGTCAGCCTAGGTGCATCGCCGGCACAGGGCGACACCAGCCACATCACGGCGTTGCACTACTTTGCTGCGCATGGTGCCGATCTGCTCACCACTTTGATATCCGCAAACAGGCCTGCGGCGCAACAAGCCGCCGATCACTTATCGCTGAGTGGCTATTCGTTCAGACCCAACGTGAACAGTCCTCTGAAGACAGCCATTGAACATGGTGATACCGCTGGAGTTGAAGCACTTCTAGAGCTGGGCGCGAAGCCTGAGCTTGACTTCGCCACCTACTCTACCGTTGCGAAAAATAAGGGGTTTCATTCGGCATACAGCACTGCCGAGAGCAACCAGAAAGCGTTCAGAGAAAACGTCGAGCAGCCTGTATTTACTGCACTTCGTTATGAGGCATTGTCGATAGTCTTGAAGCTTCTGGATGCTGGAGCAGACATCAACAGTCTTACTCCCAAAGCTTGGTGCGCGCTGGACAAAAGCAACAACACACACGACAACGATACGGGCACCCTTTTGGATATTGTTCGGTACAATGTGCGAAAACTACAGACCTTTATGGAGAAGGGCAAAGTTGATGGCCAAGATGGGTGGTTGTGCTCCGAAGGCTGGGTGGACCGCATTGATAACTACCGGCGGTCCGAGCAATTCGCCCCAGTACCGCTCAAGGAAGATACTGAATATCTTGGAGGACTCGAACCGGGTACCTACGCTCATTGGATGGTGAGTGATCAGATCGACAGCGCCAAACGGATCTACGAACAAGACTTGGAGAGCCACGAGAAGTGGAAACAGTCTCAGAAAGAACCCGAGGGTACGAGTGAGAAGAAGTCGGCTGTCCAGGCGCTATTGAAAGAGTTCGAAGCATTGGAGTCAGAGCTGCTCAGACGACAGGCGAAGACCTTCAAAGAGCTGCATCCAGATACCGAAATCAGGATACCCCCACCACAACAGTACAATTATGGTAGCTATGGACCTGACCCTCCAAAGCCGTGGAATCCGTTGCTCACCTTCCGGCTTTCTGACCTGACCGACGAACGACGGGAAGCTTACCTCAAGTTGTTCCAAGCCTGCTGGGATGGCGATCTTCCGACGATCAAAGAGCTTACCTTGTCGATGTGGGGAGATAATCAGACTCCCCTGCAAATCGCTGTTCAGAACTCGCAGGATTACTCGCCGTTCTCTATCGCCATTCTGCGGAAGCACTATGGAATCGCTCGTGCTGTCTTGGAGATTGCACATGCGCAATATGTGCCCGAAGAGAAGCCATTGGTCAAACACAGTCTCCAGCCCCGAGATGATGACGACGGTAGCAGTGACGATGGTGAGGATGATTTCGAGATCTACGCTGAGATTGTGGATGATTGCTTCACTATTGAGAACATTGGAGAGGTGCAGAGTCAAGTCAAAAGCAATGTGACGCCACTCAAGATGATGTCGTGGACGTGCCCGGCGTTCCGTTTTCTCGAACACGATGCTGCATCGGTCTCACCCTGGCTTCCACACCCAGAGCTCTCAAGCAGCCTCCGTGGTCAACCGCCTTTGGACTCGTCTAGTGGTAGCCCGGTACCCGTCAAGATCCCTGAGGATGTGCGGCCGCATAGTCTGTTCCAATTGGCAGTCTATCTAGACGATGCCGATCTACTACAATTCCTGATCGCCAGAGCTCAGGAGTACACGCAACACAACACCGAACTCGACGATGAGACTGCACCGAGGTTCTTCCGTTTCGACGAAGCCGAGTTCTGGTACGCGATCCGCTTGAGTCGTACCCGCCTGCTAGGAATCATCATCAAGAACACTGGGGCTGGCATTCCTTTGGACGATCTTGTGAAGAAGAGCGGCATCGAGATACCCGTGAAGCCAAAGTACTACCAAGGGCTATCGGTGCACGGCAGGAAGCGAGAGGACTGGGCGAATGAAGGGAGAGAGACCCAGACGAAAGCAGTTGGGGCGAAGCATCCGCCTTTACTTCATGCC